TTTTACTTTGTATTATAATTACGTATGTTATTTTATTCCATTAAAGTGCAATTCTTGAGCTCAGAGAACATTTTAATTCTGCTCTCAGCAGCATCCAAATATAGAATATTGTGTCTTTACTGGAGTTCTATATATTTACTACATCAATGAAACATTTTTAAGATGCAAAAGCAGAAACTGGGTGCACATAGGCATTTATTATAATAAAATTCTCGTGAGATCTAAAAATAATACCTTTAAGCCTATCTATAAATTTTTACTGAGAAGAAAAAAAATGACGGTCACCATAAAATCGGGAGTCAGCCTACCATCAAGCTCACTTGTTAAATGTTAAGAATTCATTCAGTTTTCTTAATTAAGCAACAATAAATACCTTAAGGACAGGAACGTAAATTTACAATAGGTCTGTTGAAGAACAATTTTTTTTTTTTTTTTTTTTTACTCTGAGTTGTTTTACGTAAGGCTTAATTTCATCTGGCCTCGAGGCAGTATTACTTCTGCTATGTGACTGTGAATATGAATAAGCTATAAAAAGGCAGAAGATGGGTATATGTCTTCAAAAGCACAATAATAAACCTTACTCTTGTCCCCTCCCCAATAAAAGAAATTGTCAAGAACAGTAAAGAAAAAAATCCCGTGACCTTTTATGACACTGGCAAAATTACTTTAGTTAATATATTAGCTCTGGCAAATATTATGCTTGTATTTTTACAAGTGGGAGCATGCATGGTATATGTATACCTCCAGAATATAACTAACTTATTTTTCTCTGCAACTGTGCATCCTAACTTCTTCCCTGGTCTTTTTTCTCTCTCCCCATTCTACCAAACACCAATATTAGGTAAATGAAGCATGTTTCATTCTTTTCCTATTTTGTTAAACATTAAATTAATATTTAGTGAATATACTGTAACTGAGTAATTCTTTGAGGTTGCCTCCATTAAAGTCCTCTGAGAAAGAGATCAAGTTATCTTTAACTTTTTATTAATATTTCCCATAACTCCTAGCATGGTTGTTGCCTGGGAGGCAATTAAAACTAAATGTTTGATGATCAAATGAACAGCAGAAAGCTAAATTCACTTAATGAACAAGTTCCTCAAATCTCTAGTCTCCTTGTTTCCATTCTCTACAACTGTAACTGTTAGTTCAAACTTTTATCTTATGTCTGAAACAGTTTAACCTCCCTGCAGTTCCTGCCTCCTGAGTCTAAACCATTTCATACACTACATCACTGCAAAGTTATTTGTTCTAGAGCTAAGTGTTGATGGATTCCAGGGTTCCTAATAATCCAAATCCCAATATCTACACAAACAGACAAGACTATGTCCTGCTATTAGGTGTATGATCGAATGTACACCCCTTATGTACACATCTGCCACACTGAAATTTTCTATTCATGTTCTTGAACACATTCCTTTTCCTCTTACCTTCTTGCTTTTGGTTTGGGTTGTTTTCTCTATCATCTTCCCATCTGTGTGTTCAAATCTCATATACCACACCTCTC